TCGGCTCGTCGGTAGGCGGCATGTTTCGACCTTCGACCCCTCTCCTCATCATCCGGGAGCTACTTTCGTCAAAGGGCTGGCCTTCTCCCAGCTGCAGTCCATCACTCGTCTCGCGCCCGGTGGCAGGACCGAGCTCGTCTCACGCATGGTGCAGCAGGACCGAGCTCGTCTCGCGCACGGTGCTGCAGGACCGAGCTTGTCTTGCGCCTGGTGCTGCAGGGCGAGTCGATGGAAGCCAGTGCTAGCTGGCCTTTTGGGTCTCGGCGTTGGGGGTCGCCCAGGGGTGCGTAAGGTCGGACCTTTCTACTCGTCTCTTTGGTTGGGGTAGCAGCAGGTCTCGGGCGAGGCGGTGTCAAGGTCTTGGATGCCGGGGCGGCGGCCCTAGTGGTGGTAGCGCGGTGCTCATGGGCAGAGCCCGTGGCTTGGTGCTGCCCGGTGGCCCGGGCCGTGTGGGCGGCGTGGTAGCCGGGGTGTGGCGTTCGGTGATGATGAGTGCTGGCCAGGGTGAAAACCTATTCTATCTTCGGACGGACCGGCGGCGGCGAGCTTGTTCCCTTCTTGAAGGCGTCATCGCGACTCTCACTGCCCGTCATGCGGCTCCAGGGGAAACTCTGATCCTCGGATCGGGCGGTGGGTCGAGGCGCTCCGGTGCCGTATCCTTCTTGAAGGTGTCGCCTTGGAGCCCACGGTTCGTCATATGCGGCTTCATCTCTTCGCAGTCGGAGTGCTAGGAGTGGTGTTGTTGCGCTCAGCGCCTATGTATCCGGCCTTGGATGTGTGCGTGTTTTGTGGTGACGTGTGTTTGTACCGGGTTGTTGATGATCAGTGCTTTATATATAAAGCGGGGCGAAAAGTCTTTTTCCTTAATGATCTCATGCATGCACAAACCTGTCACGGAAGGACTATGCCAGACAGACATTAACAAAACATCTAGGTGCTTAATCTTCTGTAGATGAGGGAGAATGATCATGGTCTCCACATTTAGGCAATCATCAACATATAGTTCTCTCAATACGAAATGCAACCTACTAGCAAGGTTCTCATTTCCGGTTCAGGAGATAGCAGTCACTTCAATTTAGCTAACTTTGCATTGTTATATATGCAAAGACTGTTGTCCCTGGCAAATAAAACGCAATGTGCTGAGAGCAGAGAGAAATAGCACAGTACATAGTGCGCAAACGCAATGTGATGAACAGAATCTAACTGGAACTAAATAACTTGTGGCAGACCCAAAGTCCAATCAAATTCAGATGAGACGACTTACTTCAGGTAAAAAAAATTGCTACTGAATACGGGATGCAAAGAAGAGAAGAATGTTTTCATTGGCTAATAAAACGAAATACATGCTTCACCAATACTACCTCTCAAGTTATTAAAACATCATCACAGTTGTCATCCATAATGATGGTTGGTTCAGTTGATGTATATTTTTTTAGATAACCTTTTTAGTTTGCAGAAAGTTAGGGGCCATGATGGCACAAGCATTTAAACAACTGATGCAATATTACGGAAAACAACGCACAAGCATTTTGCTAGTAGTTAAGCAAAGAGCAGCTTTTCCCCAAGAAAATGCAGAGAATTTGTAGTTTCTGAATACCACTGATAAAATGAAACACACTGATCAATTATCACTGCAGTTTCCAACGTGCTGTCAAATTATGTCGAGAGCACGTCGAGCGCACGCCGCCACGGCAAGCCTGCTGCGTGCGCCTCCTGCTGCCCGCGGCCGTCCGTGTCGTGCTCCCTCCATCCCCGCGGGGCATGCCTCCCTCATTGGCATAAGAGAGAAAATGTGGCAGTCAGCAGTTGCAAGTTGGGTATGCTGATTGTGCCTGTATTCCAATCCACCAGTAACACCGTGTGAGGCCCTGGGGTGGATCGTGTTGTTTGCCATTGCACGATGAATCTCTCCGCCTTAATTATGCCGGATGAAACTGCGTCGTGGAATTGGATCTAGCTACCTTGGCCTGGCGATGATTCAGCATGGATGTAAATATTGGACTGTCAAAAAAGATGGAGGTACTAGTACAGTAGTATGTTCCTTCCTTTCCCTTTAGGCCTCGTTTGACAGGAAGGGATTGTGGAGGTTTTGGGAGGAGGGGATTTGGTGAATCCCCCTCTTCCACCCAATCCCCTTGAAATCTCAAATCCCCCTCCAGCCACACATCCCGTCCATATGGAACAATGTTTGACAGGAAGGGATTGCCATATTGATTTATCCAAGAACACTCTGGTTGCAACACACGAATTCCAGCACAAATCTTACAGTAGGACAACATGGTCAGAGCACACGCCATCATCTAACTACAGAGCACCGTCGAAGCCAAGTCTGAAGCTACTACTACAGCCGCTCCATGGTACACCTAATATACATAGCAGGCATGAAAGGTTCCTTCGGTTTGACAAGCGAAGCGATAAATGGAGAGCTAACTCACATTTCATTTTTCTTGAAAACAACTCACATTTGTCATTTTCAGAGTAACACCAAGCTGCTGCCATATGAAAGCAGACATGGCAGAGATCAATTCAATCACCAAGTAAAAAAATCAAATCACTAGTACAGGAATGCATCATTGTTTCTAAATCTCTGTTTGCACAACAGGATACAATGATTCATAGTAAATTCAGTAAAAAATCTAGAACATGCAGGAGGTCTGCAAATAACTAGAGTTCAACAACTAAAATATGAATGGCCATACATTGATGTGTTCAGAACAGCGGAAAACCAACACTACTACAGTATTACCATATAGATAGATCAACACTACTGCAGTATTACCATATAGATAGATCGATCAGTTTGCCAAAAGTAGCAACAGATTACAGTTCTTACAAACAACAAACCAACAAAGCGTTGGCAAACACCCAGCACACGTACTACTACCACTACTTGCAGACAGGTAGGCAGAGTCAAGAGTACAGATACAAAAACCAACAACACGCCATCAGTCTAGGAGGAAGTGAACTTGGTGAGGGCTCTGGTGCCCTCGGAGACGTCGTGCTTGGCCAGCTCGCCGGAGAAGACGAGGCGGCAGCCATGGCCGGGCGGATGGAAGAAACCTAGACGACTAGGGGAAAGAGGAGGAGACGAGGCGAGGTCTTACCACCGGGGAGAAGCCCAGTATGGCAGAGGAAGTACGCCGGCGTTGAGGGAGTTGGTCTACGGCGCGTTGAAGAGGAGTCGGGCGGCGCGGTTTCCTTTCATCCCCAAATCCAGGCGTCCCCCCTCGAGGGCTCTGAACCGCGTGGAAAGGAGGTATAGGAGGGGATCGGAGGGGGTTGGGCCGCCGAAACCCCGTGTACCAAACGGGCCCTCGAGGTTTTGCGGGGTTTCTGGGCCACGCGAGGAAATTCCCTTCAAAACCCCCTCGACCCTCTCCTACCAAACGAGGCATTATGGAAATGTTGTATATGTAATGCCTGAATGGCACATTCTGATCGGAAGAAGAAAAGAAAAAGTTCACCAAAGTGGATACATTCCCTGCAACTGCAAGCAAGGAACCATGCCGTGCTTTGGCAAAAGGAAAGCAACAGCAAGATGCCAAAAGAAGCCTGTAACGTTACCATTACGCCACCCATCTTCTGCTCTGTCTCTTGGCAGTGCATCCCGTTGCAGAGCTCTAACACAAAATGACAAGGTGAAATTTCTGTTTTGTTTCAGGCAAGATGATCGAGTGATCCGAGATACCTTTCCCTTGGGCTGGGTTTTCTTGGAGATAACTCTTCTTCTCCTCTGCAAGTGTTCTTCGCCCCTCCTCGACTTGATTCGCCCGTGGCGCTCCAGAGGTAGGTACTGCAACTGCATCTTATACCATCACCCTTATCTGCTTAAGAATTTCGCACGAGCATTTAAACAACTGATATACAATATAACAAAAAGCAGCGCACGAGCATTTTGCTAGTAGTTAAGCAAAGAGCAACTTTTCCCCAAGAAACTGCAGAGAATTTGTGGTTTCTAAATACCATTGATAAATGAAACACACTGATCAATTATCACTGCAGTTTCCAACACACACACACACACACACACACACACACACACACACACACATATATATATATATATATATATATATATATATTGTGTTTGCTGTTTGAGTTGCTAGTTTTTTCCCATATTTCTGGTTGAGTCAACTCAGCCAAATGCTAGACCTTTTTACAGAGAGATGGAAACAGTTGCTTCCTGTGTAGTATAATTTTTTTTTACTAGGTTGCTAGAAGAGGGGGGCTTACAGGGAAAACTACCGGCAAATGCTATGCACAAATTGCTAATAAGGCGGTGGTTGCTTGCCTACTCATTACAACTAGTTTCACTTAACCAAACTGATGACAGTGAGATGATGGATTGTAATAAGGGTGGTAACTAGTATGTTTCTCTCTTTTTCCTTTATGCAAATGAAGTTTATGCGATGCCTGGCAGATTCTGCTCTAAAGAGAAAAGAAAAGTTCACCAGTGGACCAGCGGCGATCGACACTACCCACAAGTGCAAGCAAGGAATCATGGATGCATGCTTTGGCAAAAGGAAAGCAATGACAAGATGCCCAAAGCACATACCGTTACCATTACACCACCCATCTTCTGAAACATACACGTCTGCTCTACCTTGCAATGCGCGTTCTGTTCCTGAGCTCTACCAAAGCTCGTGCCATTGACAAAAGCAAAATCTTCCCTTGTTTCAAACCAAGATGACCGAGTGATCAGATATATCCTTGCCTGGGACTGGGTTTCTTGGTGGCAATTTTTCTATTCTCTGCAAGTGTTCTTCGCTCCTCCCCGGCTTGATTCGCCCTTGGCGCTTCTAGGAGGTACTGCAATTGCATCTCATGCATATACATATGTAATATATGATCTCATCTTGTCATAGGTTTTGACAGCGTGTGATCAGGAGTTTAAGCATCTTGCTTTTGTAGGGAGTGGAGAAATCTGTGCCCCATGGGTTAGATATATGTTTATCCCGGTCTTCTTCTGCTAGTATTAGTTTTCCGTCAAGAAGTTCAACATGCCCACACTGGTTGGTACCTCTTCTCCCCTCACCAAGTCCAATGCTTGATTTATATTTGTGTGTTCCTACATTGCTCATTTTAAGCATGACGTTAGCACTAACAAAATTTTGGACCGAAGCAACCCACAGTATGGACTGGTATTTTGTACACTTAAATATAGTTCCGCTTCATTTAAACTTTCAAACTGGAAGAATGCATTAACTGATCTCACAACTAAGATTGCATCATTTGTTGCTTTAGTTTAATATCACGTCATTTGTTGCTTTAGATTGGAACAAGTTTAATTTTGGACTGGAGTACCCCACATCAAACTTAGCGAGTATATGTATGGGAGAAACTGGTGTTTTGTACACTCGAATATAATTCCAGTCAATTTAAACTTTCAAACTAGATGCATACCTCTGCTAATCTTATCATTATGATTGTATCATTTGTTGCTTTAGTTTGTTCTTACGCAAAATAGCTATTAATTCAAATTATAGTACCAAGGTACGTATTGTGGCAGTTGTATGAAATAACAATTGATAGCTGCAGTATGTGAAGGATTTTGATGACGCCGTCAGACAAGTGGTTGATCTTTTGTGTGAAAGCGATGGTACTGCAGAAGGCAACATTAAAACATTCTTGCTTTGTGGTTGGTTCGGCAAGAGTGCTGGTCGGGCATTGGCAGGACATGCTGTTCTTAGAGCTATAGCGAAACTTCTAAAATCCACAATATGTGATGATTCTGACATGAGAAAGAACTTTGACAGAATTATCCATGTGGACTGCTCCCTGTGGAAAAGCAGCAGGACCATGCAGAGGACAATAGCAGAGGAGTTGAACCTTCGCCATGTAATGCACATATTTGATAAGGAGGATGAAGATGATGATTTCAGAGGAGTAGACAACAGCTCTAGAAAAGCGATACCAAGGATCGCAAGTTTGATTAATAAGTCTCTAAGAGATGAAAGATTTCTGATGATTTATCATCATGGAGGAGATGAAGATATTGATCTGGTAGAGTGTGGCATTCCTCTTTATGGTGAAGGTAAATTGTTATGTACCTATGGTGGAAGATTTTTGAAGACCAAGTGGAGAGAATTCAAGTTGATGCACACTTCTACTGATATTTTTATTTATGTGACGGCATATTCTACAAATAGTGCATCACATATTGAAAATGTATTGCACAAAGAAGCTGCTGGAGTGATTGGTGACACCGGTATTGATGGCATCAACACAGAAACAGTTTTGGATTGCTTCTTGTACTCATTATTCCTAACAACACGACTACCTGAAAACTTTACTGGTGTTGACTATGGTTGGGCGACTCATGCCTGTAACTACTGGATATGTGATGGAATCCTTGGTGAGGACAAACCATGGGAGATTGGCAGTACATTGTATCATGTGATACCAATGTTGGGCAATTCTACTTACGAAACAAGACACATGGCATCCTATTTGGATGGACAGAAAAAACCCTATGTAGGTTGGTATTCAGTCACCTCCAACAAACTAAGGGCAGAAGATATCTCTAATGTTCCTGGCAGTGCATCATCATATTTCTTAACATTTCAGGGAGATGATCCTGTATATGTACGTAATGATTTGTTTCAACTAGCCAGCAACAACCTCCGTGTGCTAAAGCTCTACAACTGCAGCTTCAATTTTGCATCTCCTCCTTTTCAGTGCTGCCACAACCTAAGATTCCTTTGGCTTGACCATTGTGCAAACACTGGGAAGGAGGAGCAAAGTGGAGGGCCAAGTTTTCCGTGCCTGCTGGTGCTTGACTTACGTTTCACAGAGTATGTTTTCTTGCTTCGGATGATTGAACTGATGACCAATCTCAGGGAGCTAAATACAAGGGGGGTCTCATGGAAGACTCTAAGTCATGCATGGAAAAAGCTACAGAAGCTTCAGAAGCTCCGATTAACAGAATCTTCAGATGTGGTCACGGTGGACAGTTGCTCTCCGGTAGATATGATGAACCTGGAGCTGCTTGACTTGTCACGAAACACTCACCTGGAATCATTGCCAACATTATCATCGGCAAGAAGCCTGAAGACGCTTATTCTTGATGGTTGTTCCAGCTTGGAGCAAGTTGCCCTGCAAGGAGCTCCTCCACTGCTTGTAAGTTTTAGCTTCGATGGTTATGGCCCAGCAGAGAATTGGACACATTCGATACACCTGCCACAAAAGGAATTGCGCCTCAAGTCTCCTTTAGCTCCGGTTGAAATAGTCAAGGTGACAAAGATCTCCCTACACGGTTGTGGTCGATTGCATAACATATTCCTTCGTGGACTGCCAAATCTGGAGGAACTGAACCTCTCTGGTACAGCCATTAAAATACTTGACCTCCGAGCAATGGATGTCCCGAAACTCAAGAAGTTATTTCTGCTGGGCTGTGAGCAGCTTCGCAGACTAATTTTGCATGGATCACCTAGATTGAAAGTGCTCCATGTGGACACACAGAGGAAGATTAGATCAATGATCTGCTGTGGAGAACAGGGATCCTTTGACATTGAGGTATGTATTGCTTTTACGGATGGAAGATTCATTTGGTCATCTGCAAAGGGACTCGTTTTCCAGACAGAAAACCTTCTCTCCAAGGTGTACCTCCTTATCTCTTGTATGAGCAGTAGCCAAGCCAACATCACCAAAAGTATCAAGAAGATTGGATCTAGCCGACAGGGTTTGGTTCCAACAAGGCCGTTATTACCGTATAATGATATTGCCATGGCTAAAGATGTTACATGCTCGCTCTTGGTGTGGAACTGTCAACAGCTCCAAACTTTGAACGTGCATATCGAGATTGGTAAAGGAAGCTATAATTTAGAGAGTATGCAAGATGAAGGGGATTTCACAAGTTTCGCAGCTTTTGTCGTTGAATCATTGCATGTGCATGACAATTGCTCCATCACTGCTATCCCCCCAACGAATGGGTCACACTGGCAGAGACTAAAATGGTGTCATGTTGAGAGGTGCCCCAAGCTACACTCTGTGTTTCCATCTCGGTATAGAACATACAACTTTCAGCGTATAAACACATTTTCAGCTTCTGATCTCCTAGTGGCCTATTGCATCTGGGGAGGCATCAAGAAATCTTGGGATGACCACACACACCATAGTCTCCAACAACTGCAGCACATATACCTGTACAATTGCCAAAGGCTGGTGTTCGTCCTCCCCATTTCCTTCACCTTGCCCAACTTGGAGACCCTCCAGATCGCATACTGCAGTAACCTCCGGCATGTTTTCCCATGGGACCACGAGTACACTGAGGAAATAGCATCTGGTTTCACATTCGACAACCTGAAGCACATCAAGCTACACCATCTTCACAAGCTGGAGCAGATATGTGAGGTCAAATTGACTGCACCTGCGTTGCAGTCAGTCGGCATCAGGGACTGTTGGGGTCTCAGGTGTCTCCCGGCTGTAACACGTCAAGGTCCTAAGCCGGTGGTGGACTGCGAGAAGGACTTGTGGGACAAGCTCAAATGGGATGGCTTGAGGGCTGGACATCACCCGTCGCTGTTCGAAACGCGCCACTCAGCCTACTACAAGAAGACCCTCCCGAGGGGCTCCTACCTAAGGTCCGTCGCACATTGGTTTCTTATATGCAATATACATAGATAGATTATAATGTTTTTTTCTACAGAAAATTTTTGTTAGTTGATTAGTAATATTTCCGCTTCTCGTTGTCCATTTAGCAGGTGATCTGTTGTTGCTCTGCTCTACGACACAAGGAATTGGTCTATGTGAAGCATCAGTTTGTTGCTGTTACGAGTCATCGCCTCACGTCTCCGAGGTGTTTCTCCAGTCGTATGTGTGTTTGCAAATTAAGTGTGTCCGTGCTGCTGCTGCTACTTCCACGGTGAATAAAGTGTGTGTTTCCTTTCTCACTGAGCTGCCTTGATCTTGGTATGCTGGATTGGATTGGTGTGTTTCCTTTCCACCAAGCTGCCTTGATCTCGTTATGCTTGATTGGATTGATGTGGTGTGCTGCTACTTCGACTTCGAGTGTTGGCTTTCCACGGCTTGGTGTGCTGTTCACAACCCTGCTACTTTGTGTTGGTTTGCTGTCTGTTTGTAATAAGAGGGTGTGCGTGCATCGGTGCGCGTAAACCCGGTGTGGTGTGCGACTGATGAACCTGAAATTCAGCTTGGTTTGATGTATGTTTGCTTGACGAAACAATATATCGTATCATTGTGATGAGTTGTGTGATTTGCATGAGTTTGATTATCGGTTGTTGTCTACTATAATATGTTGAGCTAGGCTCGCATCCTGTCATTTGGGTATAATTTTTTTTCTCTTTTTGTTTTGCCAGGTCTTTCTACCAAACATGTCTCAGAAGGTAGAATCCTTTTGTTTCTTGGATAGAAACATGGTACTTGCCTCTCAGGGTAACATTTGTCTTATCTAAACTGTATGATTTATCCATACTACCTGTGATGTGCATGCATTTGTCTCTGTAGACTTGCTTTTGATATCACTGTATTACAACAGTTTACTTTTCTTCTGTACGTGGACTTGTTTCAGTGTAATTCCAACCTCTGTTTCATCTTTCATTTGCCACTAGAGGATTGTTAGTGCGCCACGTCGCGCACTCCATGATTTTTGTCAGCTAATTTGTAGTTTGGATTGCTCTCCAAATAGAAATCGATATTAGAAGAGAAGAAAACAGAAGGACAACCCAACAAAAGAAGCGGTATAAATATTTTCTTTTAGCCTTAACAAGCAAGAGCAACATTACTGACCTAGGGATTTCATATCTGAAAATGGGGATGGATTAAAGTGCAGCCTAGAAATACCCTGAAACTGGCAGCAATTCTTTCTGTGCTCGTTGAAGGGAAGCACAAACATATGGAACTGAAAACGCCGTGCACATTCATATATAAATAACAAAATAGCTAAGAATCCTTCACCAGAAGTAGACGCGGATATAAGGTGGACGTTCGCTGGAGCAAAATTGGCAGCGAACGCCCGAGTTGCCATGCCAAAACAACTAAAAATCCCAAGCGTTTGTTAGGGACTTGCCGTCTACAGAAGGGAAACTTGCCATGTGTATGGAAGAATTGCCAGCAAACACAGCCTTCTCCAATAAAAAAAAATACCATCCGTCTCATTCCAGTCACACGGCTGTGTGGGTACACTTATTCTTAAGCGTGGTTTCCTTCAGCTATGCAGTCACCTCTTTGGGTTGCGAGAACTTGACACATCTTAACAAACGTTACTGCCCACAAAAGACTCTGCCAACGACAAAACCAACAGAGCACATTGCAAGAACCCAAACTATATATGGAAGCATAGGAATTCTTTACCTTCTTTACCTTAATCCAAATCTTGCGAGTGGAAACCGCTCGTCAGGGATATCGAAATCTTTCTTTGAAGATGTTTAGCATCCTCTCAGGTGTGAAGGCTAAAGAACACAAAAGACCAGGGACTCCAATTATAACTGAATCTAAGGAGTTTAAACCAAAAGACAAGTGTTAAGCTCCTAGTGAAGTGTGTGATTTGAATCATGCACGAGCCAGAAGCAAACAGTAATCAACTAAGAAAACCACTGCATATATAATATAAAAAGGGAACTGTGAGCAAGATTCTCAATATATAGATAAAACATTGAGATGTTTAATCTTCTGTGGAGGAGGGAGAATCACCATGGCCTCCACATTCAGGCAATCATCAATATATAGTTCTCTCAATACGAAATGCAACCTAAATTTAGCTAATAACTCATCGAGATTCTCAGTTCTGGTTGAACTCAGAAGATGGCAGTCAAGTAAATTTAGCTAACTCAAAGTGTTGCATCATATAACAAATGTGGAGATGTTATATGTGTAAAGATTGTCGTCACTGGCAAATAAAACGCAATGTGCTGAGAGCAGAGAGAAATAGCACAGTACATAGTGAGCAAACGCAATGTGCTGAACAGAATCTAACTGTAAGTAAATAACTTGTGCCAGACCCAAAGTCCAATGAAATTCAGATGAGACGACTGACTTCAGGTAATCTTTTTGCTACTGAATACAGATGCAAAGCAGAATGTTTTCATTGGCAAATAAAACGAAATAAAATACATGCTTCGCCAAGATTACCTCTCAAGTTATTATAACATCATCACAGTTGCCATCCGTTATGTGGAGGACATACGGTTGATTCTATTGATGTGTATTTCGAGATGAACTTTTTAGTTTGCAGAAAGTTAAGGGGCCACGATGGCACAAGCATTTAAACAACTGATGCAATATAACAAAAAGCACCGCACAAGCATTTTGCTAGTAGTTAAGCAAAGAGCAACATTTCCCCAAGAAAACGAAGAGAATTACTCCCTCCGTTTTAAAATAGATGACCCAACTTTGTACTAAAGTTAGTATAAAATTGAGTCATCTATTTTGGAACGGAGGGAGTAGTTTCCAAACACCAGTGATAAAGAAACACACTGATCAATTATCACTGTTTGAGTTGTTAGTTTATTCCCATATTTCTAGTTGAGTCAGCTCAGCCAAATGCTAGACCTTTTTACAAAGATGGAAACAGTTGCTTCCTGTGTAGTATAATTTTTCTTACTAGGTTGCTAGAAGAGGGGGGCTTACAGGTAAAACTACCGGGAATTGTTATGCACAAATTGCTAGTAAGGCAGTGGTTGCTTGGCCACTCACTACAACTAATTTCACATAACCAAAATGATAAAAGGGAGATGATGGCAACCAGTTTAGAAAACATTGTACTAGTGAGTGGTAACTAGTTTGAAGAAAATTGTAAATAAGATTCCAACTAGTCTGAAGAACATCATAAACGAATACACATTTGAAAATCAATTGGGGAAAGCAGTGCTGAAGCGGTAAACATTCACAACTTGATGGCACATTCCGTCAATGCAGTTTGAGCTAATTTATTTCTAGCCAAGTATTGCCTGCGCCTGAGACAATTGCTAGGCAACCAACACTGTGATGTTAAAAGAGCGCGGGAAATCTGAGGATGGCTCACTGTTTATTTCATGACAAAAGATACTTCCCAACTGAACAGTCAACCGGCAACATCCAGGAACCAATTCGAAGGTGACAAAATAACAGATTCGATATACTACATCATATATTAGATAGAAAAATGAGATCTGAATAAAAGCGACTCATCTTGACCAAACTACCTCGGTCTCATCATTCACTCGATTTCTTCCCAGTCTTCCACTTCGATGTCCGGCTGCAGCTTGCTCACAGATTGACCGGCACTTGGTTCTGCGCTGGATCCAGCGCCAACGCGAGGAGCGGAAGTGCTGGATCCAGCATCAGTGTGAGGAGGAGGCTTAGGTTTGTCGGCTGGCCCAGAGCTGGTTGCGGCATCAGGCTCCAGAGCATTCCACCGGTTTGAACTCGTGACCTGAACAGCAGGTTTCCACACTGATCCTGGGAAATGACCAAGCACACTTGTCCCTGGGGCACGACCAAGCACTGTCATCACTGCATGCGGGTTCGGCTTCAGCTCAGAGGGAGAGTCCTTCTTCCATGCACTGGCACTGCTCGCTGTGGCCAACCCTCCATCTCTCGGTGCTCCAACCCACACATTGCTTGACAAGGAGGCCTGGGTGATGCTGCTTGGGCAAAACATTGCAGCACCCTGGTAAGCAGACCCATAATCAAGCCGCCTCAGCGCCGTCGCAGCTCTAGCTGGATCACTGAAGACTGCAGCAGCATTCTTGTCATTCAGCCAAACCAATTCACATTCCCCACCAAACCTTAACACTAGAGAGTTAACATCAGCATCCCTTGGCAGGTCCAGCATTGCGACGACGAGCCTCGGATCCATGTCCACCATGGAGTCAAAGTAAGGATGGGCCGCCGAGACAGGGACACCAGGCTTAGAGCCCAGAACACGAGCAGGCACCTTAGACTTGGGTGTCACATGGACGGTAACAAAACGCTTTGGCTCCCAACCAACTGCCTGGACAGAAAGCTTCCACCTATCTGCAATGAGCCTGATAGCATCTCTCTTGTCCTTCAACATGGGACAGAAGACATGGAACTTCATGTTGCTTGAAGAATTCCCCCTTGTTTTCCCAAGGACCAGGAACTTGCACCTCTCCTCTATGGCCAGCACCCACTTTGGCTCACGCCGGAAAAGATCAGAAACCAAATCCGACACATTTGAGTTCTCACCAAAATGCAATGCATCCAGATTGGGCGGGGTAATGTCGAAAGCTTCAGCAAGGACTCGTTTCCGCTCCACTTTTGCACACTCCTCATCACAACAGAGCTTCCTCTGCCCAAGAGGTACCCTTTTCCCATTTGATTCCACTGGTTGGAGAGCCATTGGCAGCTGCTGCATGACGGAGATATCAAACGTACTATCACCATTGTAGGCTCCACCGGCACTGCAGGGTACAGTTGTACTGATACGGCCACAAGAACAGGTAATAGTTGCACGATGTTCACATCTCACGTCTGGGCAAGGCGACGATGGGTGGCATGGGGCGTTGCAAGTGTGCTTGCATTCCCTCCTTGGGACACCACATAACTGTCCACATGAAACTTTGCCCCCAGAGCCTGAACTAGCTTCTCCATTTGCAGGCGGTGGATCACAAGGGGAAGGATGGCAAGGCCTGGCACAAGCATGCAGTCCACATTGACGGTTCTTTCCACAGGGCTGGTTGCATCTGATATCCTTCGAACCACAGGGGATGTTCCTTAGCATCACATGTCCTCCAACGCACTCTCTC